ATATGTGGCCTGAGGCCGTTCTAAATTTGTTCGCAGGGTACCAACAAATTCAGATAAGAAAATTCTGATGAATCCCGTATTTGTGCGTAAAATATTCATATGCACAGTTTAAGCACAGATTTGTGTGTGCGCTGTGTTTGTGAATGAGGCCCAATGTTGCTTTAGCGTGGATGTTGTGTATATATATTACAATACATATGTAACTTTGGGTTCCTGTTTTCTGCTTATTTAATATACTTTCTCTCATGTCCGTGGAAAAAAACAGTGTTTAACCAAACTTTTTTGTATCCTCTTGCACATTTTTAGGCACTCATCACACTCTTATGTTTATATGGAATGATTTGGTATGATCAAAATAAAATGAAGGTAAGATGTTGATTTGGTTCGGTTATATTTTGAGTTTTCATTTACAATGTGTTTTAAGAGTAACTTAAACCAGCTGAAAATCTTGCTTTGGTGACTTATTGTTCTTAAGGTTAAATTTAGGTGTCATCGAGGGAAAAGCACAGGTGTTACTAATAACATTAACTCTGGTCTAATGAAGTGAACATGAAACTCCAGGAGCATGAAACTGATGCAGTTAAATGGAATTCCTTCATTTTATTAGTTACACGTGTGCTTTTCAGACTGTGACATGTCAAAATAAACAGTCAGTGATCTCCTGCTTGCTGTGCAGTTACTCTACACAGCTGCTCATCTTTTTATTTATCACACTGAGCTTCCTTGTGTTTCCAGAGCAATCCTCTGCACAGTGAGGAGTGCGATGACAGCAGTGTTGTCGACTCGTTTGGTTTTGTCCCAGATGGCGATGCAGGTCAGTCACGACAGGCAGATTGGTGACAACTGTTGCGTAAACTCCATTTGAAATGTTTAACGTTGTTACGTCTCTTGCTTCCATAGCTCAGAGGGATTCATTGAGAAGTTTACAACCTACAAAACGAAGGAGAGCTCATGGGAGGAACAGATTTGTTAATGGCCATGGAGGAAAGAAACAATAACAGCGACACTGGATATTCACATTCTCTGTGAAAGGGTGAAGGATCCACCCAACAGGGAGAATACAGTATGCACTTAGATCTCCTAAATGATTGTTGTAAAAATTGCATCAAGGGTTTAATAAATCCTAAAGGGTGGAAAGCAAACTCCAAAACAAAGTCACTATATGGTACATATCAACTTAGGAAGTGCTGTCATTCTGTGGGAGTCAAAAGATGAAACACACCAATGAGCTGAAAGCCTTCTAGACTGGGGTGCTGATTCTCCAGTACTCTGGCAACACGAGCAGATATTAATTACGACAAGGACTAAAGCGGTCCTGTATTTAATGTGAGATATTTTTAAACAGACCCGAATAACCAAGGAATATTCCCCGGATTTTGAAAAAAGAAGATGGCCTTATCATCACAAGCATGCTCTCCTCATCTTCGTCTTATACCCAACATTTTCTACCTTAAATTATTAAATACTGATTGGACGCTTTGCACTGTGGGACACTTTGAGTATGTCCAGTCAGGTGTGTGCTAAACTGCTATGCTTCACTTAGCTTTTTTGCACTTAACCTATTTTTGTCCGTTGTGTTTTGGATATCACTGTGTGCTTAATTTAATACCTTCACTGGAAAACTAAAGATCAGTTATTTTTGTTAATGCATTTTGTAAGTTATTAGAATTGGTGTTGTATATTTGTTAACTTTGCCAAAAGTTACCACATTTTGCACTTATCTATAATCCAGTAAAGTGCTGGTATGCACAGCACTGTGTGTGAAAGATGTTTCTATATACTTCAAACAAGAACAACCAAGTATTATTGGACCAACTGTAGCCTTTACACATTACCCTGTTTGTTTTTTTAGCACTTTGTGTGTGTGTGTGTGTGTGTGTGTGTGTGTGTGTGTGTGTGTGTATGCGTGTGTGTGATGAGAGAGAGGTGATCAGTATATGATACTTGGAGAAGACTGTGACGTTGAATACAACAGCACTGTGGTGACATTCAATAGCAGAGGATAATCACTTGTGTGAAATGATCCTTTTCACACACATATCTTTTTTAGTGATCTCTATTAATAAAATGTGACCCTTATATAACACACTAAGTGACCGCTTCATATACGCTGTTCTTAATATTATTAAACCATGAATTATATTTCATATTTAGTGTTAGAGTGTGTCGTGTCTGCTAATTGAATTTGTATTGATGTATTTTGAAATGAACCTTTTTGTTTTAGCACCAGCTTGCCTCAGTGGTTCTGGTCCTCTGACTCTAAAAAGCGTTAAGTGTTAGACTTTACTGTATTTAATATAAAATGTTGTAAAATGTGTTACTTGGAACTTCCAATGGACTACTTGTGTTACTGATTTACAGTACAGGCCAAAAGTTTGGACACACCTTCTCATTCAATGCGTTTTCTTTATTTTCATGACTATTTACATTGTAGATTCTCACTGAAGGCATCAAAACTATGAATGAACACGTGGAGTTATGTACTTAACAAAAAAAGGTGAAATAACTGAAAACATGTTTTATATTCTAGTTTCTTCAAAATAGCCACCCTTTGCTCTGATTATTGCTTTGCACACTCTTGGCATTCTCTCCATGAGCTTCAAGAGGTAGTCACCTGAAATGGTTTTCCAACAGTCTTGAAGTAGTTCCCAGAGGTGTTTAGCACTTGTTGGCCCCTTTGCCTTCACTCTGCGGTCCAGCTCACCCCAAACCATCTCGATTGGGTTCAGGTCCGGTGACTGTGGAGGCTAGGTCATCTGCTGCAGCACTCCATCACTCTCCTTCTTGGTCAAATAGCCCTTACACAGCCTGGAGGTGTGTTTGGGGTCATTGTCCTGTTGAAAAATAAATGATCGTCCAACTAAATGCAAACCGGATGGGATGGCTTGTCGCTGCAGGATGCTGTGGTAGCCATGCTGGTTCAGTGTGCCTTCAATTTTGAATAAATCCCCAACAGTGTCACCAGCAAAACACCCCCACACCATCACACCTCCTCCTCCATGCTTCACAGTGGGAACCAGGCATGTGGAATCCATCCGTTCACCTTTTCTGCGTCTCACAAAGACACGGCGGTTGAAACCAAAGATCTCAAATTTGGACTCATCAGACCAAAGCACAGATTTCCACTGGTCTAATGTCCATTCCTTGTGTTTCTTGGCCCAAACAAATCTCTTCTGCTTGTTGCCTCTCCTTAGCAGTGGTTTCCTAGCAGCTATTTGACCATGAAGGCCTGATTGGCGCAGTCTCCTCTTAACAGTTGTTCTAGAGATGGGTCTGCTGCTAGAACTCTGTGTGGCATTCATCTGGTCTCTGATCTGAGCTGCTGTTAACTTGCCATTTCTGAGGCTGGTGACTCAGATGAACTTATCCTCAGAAGCAGAGGTGACTCTTGGTCTTCCTTTCCTGGGTCGGTCCTCATGTGTGCCAGTTTCGTTGTAGCGCTTGATGGTTTTTGCGACTCCACTTGGGGACACATTTAAAGTTTTTGCAATTTTCCGGACTGACTGACCTTCATTTCTTAAAGTAATGATGGCCACTGGTTTTTCTTTAGTTAGCTGATTGGTTCTTGCCATAATATGAATTTTAACAGTTGTCCAATAGGGCTGTCGGCTGTGTATTAACCTGACTTCTGCACAACACAACTGATGGTCCCAACCCCATTGATAAAGCAAGAAATTCCACTAATTAACCCTGATAAGGCACACCTGTGAAGTGGAAACCATTTCAGGTGACTACCTCTTGAAGCTCATGGAGAGAATGCCAAGAGTGTGCAAAGCAGTAATCAGAGCAAAGGGTGGCTATTTTGAAGAAACTAGAATATAAAACATGTTTTCAGTTATTTCACCTTTTTTTGTTAAGTACATAACTCCACATGTGTTCATTCATAGTTTTGATGCCTTCAGTGAGAATCTACAATGTAAATAGTCATGAAAATAAAGAAAACGCATTGAATGAGAAGGTGTGTCCAAACTTTTGGCCTGTACTGTATAATTTTATACGGGTGGGGTTGCTTGTTTTTTAAGTACAAAATTAAATGATTTTCACATCATCAGCATCACGTCATTAATTTGTTTTTCAATGTGTCCACTCTTGTACAGTATATATTTTAGTTTTATAAGTTGTTTTATTTTTTCATTTTCAAAACTTAGAATATACACTAACATGAATTCAATACAATATTGACAAGGAAAAATAAGCCCAGTGTGTTATGTAAAATGTAATTACATAACACTAATGATAAGGGCCAAGTGTTAACCATGAATCCCCTTGCAGTCGTGTTAGCTGACATTAAATCACTGTGCAGCACCCTGTCCAATTAGCTGCATTATAATTTCAAGTGTATGGACATTCTTGTGAGCCCAAATCAAGGCTGGGTTATGAGCATAGGCAATGATATGCAAAGGGCCCCTCCACCTCTCCTACATGGGAGCAAGACACACAGATTTGTGGTGGTTTTGCATCCCTTTGTAGTTGTTATGCATCTTTTTTGGTTTTGTGTCGCCTTGAGGTCATTTTATGTATCTTTCGGTCGTTGTATGTCGCTTTGTAATAATTTTGTGTCTCCTTGTAGGTGTTTTGTGTCTCTTTGTCAATGTTCTGCCCATTTTTATGCTTATTTTGTTTCTCTTTGCAGTTCATTTGCATTTATTTGTAGTCCTTTTGTGTCCCTTTGTAGTCTTTTAAGTCTCATCTTAGTTATGTGTTAATTTGGATTTAGTAATCCATCCATGGTTACAATGGACCTTTGTGTAAATTTTCTAACAAGAGACATGACGTATAAACATATTAATCTATCAATAATTATTATTTTAATGGCTTAGTATTGTGTGCACCATGAAAGGTTATGCTTAGGCCACCCCAGCAATATAATAATCTTCACACACGACACAAAATAACCCCATGTTACAGCCATGTGGTACAAAGTCCTGTCAAACCTTCCTCTTTGTTGTGTTCAGCTACTACATTTCCCATAGTTCCTCTGTGAGTGGCCGCTGTGCTGGATGACAGCTATCCGGCGCCGAAACACCGATAGACACCCAGACGAAAGAGCCATGGCGGCCACGGGTGGAGGGAAAATTAGAAGCAGGAGATATCATATCGCCTCTAAACCTTACGCCAAGAGTAAACAGGTAAACCGAGTGAAACTTTTCGTGTTGAAGCCCGTGTCGAGGACGGTACGGTGGTTACAGTGCCATCGTGTCTTAGCTGTTGTTGTTGTTTTGTGTTGGAGACATTTCATGGCCTGCCGTTAGTGCTTGTGGCCTCCACGCGCTGCTAGCATGTAGGAGAAATGCTACTGACTTGGCTTATACGTTAGCAAAATCAGACGGACTTGACAGGTCAAACCAGGGCACAGTGAGTCGTTTAGACTAGATAACCAGTATTTAGTAAAGTACAAGTGCACATAGGGCGCGTTGGGATAACCGACGTTAGCTCTATTAGTAAGTTTTTAGCTGCTAGCTAAGTTAGCAGAACGCAAGGAAGTAGAATTCTAAGCATTAGCTGTGAAGCTAATGCTAGCTAGCAGGCTAGCACTGGCGAGCAACGCATTGTTGTCTTCGGCTCTTAAGTTTGGAGGCATCACACTGTCGCAGAGACAGGCGATGATTGTTTGGTTTAAAATTACACCTGTCCACAGGTATGGGAAGCCGCATTGCATGCGGTTAAATTTTAAGATTATGCTTCTGGCCTGTCGAGAAGCATCTTGGATGTTAAGCTAGCTAACGTTAGCCAAATCTCAGCCAGTTGAATTGCGCAGGAAGCATTGGCTGATTGGGAACCCACATGGTTGTCTGAGTCAGTTCACTTGCCGCCTGGACATGAGCTTTATAACCGCTCCACAATATTAACAGTAGCTAACATTTATTATGAATGATACATGGCATATCCGTCGACCTTTTTTGTCAATCATCGCGTAAAATATTCCAGTAAACTACAAAGAAGAGGTTGTTCATGTTGCCAGTGTCAGTCTGTTGGTTTATTCTGACTGAAGAGACAACTAAACTGAAAGCTGACTTTTCAAACAGTCTGTATATTGATAGTTTTACAAGCAGCTGGTTATTGTTACCAACTAAAGGTTATATGCTAATTTGTCATTTTATTCGGTAAACCCAGTAAACAAGATTTGGAAGGATGGTTATTGTTTATGACTCACATTAGTTATCCACATTTTTGTTGAATTAAATCACTTTGCTTTTATCAAAACAGATAAAGTTGCAAGATAAAATCTTAATGACTTATACAATCATATAGTGATAATGTAGTGATTCTACTTAGTGATTGTCTGTTATTGTATTTGTTGAATATTGATAGTTTGGGCATGAATGCACCATAGATATTTTTTCAATAGAGCATTGAAACAAAGAGAGATTGACTGAAAAATGCATCCAAGCCAACAACAAACAAACTGACAAAGAGGAACTTGAAATATTTAGTTTGAATAAATGCAAATATGAGTTGAATAGTGTCTATGATACCAGTGTTGTCTCTGTTACATCTTTCAGTGCTTATATTTGTGTAGAATGCAAACAATGCGAACATGTTTCAAGCCCATACAAATGTGTCTGGATTCAAGTCAGCTAGATATATTTATCCAACTCTTGTGTACACTTGTCCTTACAGGTGGTATAGCTGCTCTTCAATAGCTTGTTCACACTGCTAGTGATAAGACATGCAGTGTTTGGCCATTGCAGCCTTGATTCTTCTCATAATGCGTGGGATTGCTTATTTAAGAATGGGAGTCTTTTACGCTAGTACTAACCTAATGGCATGATTTACATGTTACCGCATAGCGGGCTCAAACATCTTAACAGGTGTATCATGCTCATCACATTTATCCATGTGAAAAACCAGATGCACTGATATTAGCAGTCAAAATCATTATGTGTTTCCATTTGACATGTGAGCTTTCAGAGAGAGCTGTGGCAGTCGACCTCAGGTCACTTAGTCACATGACCCTGGTCACAGCAGAAATGAGGCACCCTTAAATCCTTTTAACAATAGGTTGTAGAGAGCTAAGTAAACTAGCACTGTGGTGGATATTACACCTGCTCTTGACTAGTTTAAGTTGTGTACAAAGATTAAAGTGCAGAGTGGGCCACAGGTGTATTTCTGAGATAAGCAGGAAACGAGAGGCGCATGTTTACTCTTATCAGGAGTTGAAAACTACCATGGGTTAGACAGCGTGCACATGAAGTGATAGACCAGCTAGCTAGCGCCTTCTCTCAACCTTTCCCTTTTAAATCTACTTTCTTGTCACAGCAACATGGGACAGCATAGCCATAGTCTGAAGACATCCAAGTACCAAGCAAAGAGCCAAAGAAAAAATGTTAGTGTGTTTGTACAATAAAAAAAATAAGCACCAAATCCATCGAGCTGGACAAACAGTCAAATGTTTTATACTGTCTTGTTCAGTGCTCTCCAATTCCCCTTTGCTTAACTAACCATAAGAGGTCGTGCATTAATGGATTTAAGGTTTTGTTTTGAGCTTTGTCGTCCTCTCCTACTGCAACTCCAAAACTGCTTCATCTGTTGGAGACATTATTCATGAAACAGATGTTGAGTAATGAGGCATTTAATGCTCATATATTAAACTACCAGAGCAAATTTTGGTCAAGGCATGAAGTGCCATAACTTTTGTAAACGGTGCACTGCTGACCTTACTCCTAGGTTTGGAAACCCATTTAGAAATGGTGGCTGTATTCCAGTCTGCCAGATCTGCCCCTTAAAACTTGCCCTGGACCTTTTCACTGAATTGTGAACAGCTTATAGATTTTACAGATATTAAATTCCTGGAAATTGAGGTACTTTCTAAGTGTGGTGTAGGAAACAAGACTCATACATATCGACTGGAATTCATCTAAACCTACAGTGCAGACCAGCGTCACTGCTTCACAGAAGCATACACGGCGCCTGACCCAGTTTCACACTGTCATACTTAGCTTGTGTTTTGCTTTGCACTGGGGAGGACTAACTGCTTCCTATTGCAAGTGGGGCTGTGTGGCTGATTCAAATAGTGAAATGCAGTCTTGATTGCTGTGTTTTGTGCAGCTGTTGTCTTTTATTTTAAGAGGACTTAAAAACAAATTTTGTAGATTTCCTTTGCCACAAATTAATTGTATTTTTGAACACCATAAATGCAGGTATATTTTTAATACAGGCTTATTTTTCTAATTTTCCTCAGTGTAAGTAGATGAAAAATGAATTGCCAAGATTCATGCAGCAACACTGTTTTATATGCAGTGTTGTTTTACAAGCATTGAGCTTTTATCTAATGCTGATTCTCAAGGGAAGGTTCTGATGAGGCTACAAAAAATGGCCTGAGTCGATGGTACTTTGTGTTGTCTATATGCATTCATCTCTGCCCCTTGCTCATTTCATCCCTCTGTTCACGGCCCTTCTCTCCCTCTCATGTTTTTATCAGCAACAGTCAGGCCTCATCAGTCGTGTGACAGACACAGTAAAGAGCATCGTTCCTTCCTGGCTGCAGAAATACTTCAAGAATGAAGATGCTCCTGAAGGAGGAGGGGCTGTACTAGGGACAGACCAGAACTGCCAGCCACCACCACCACCTCCTCCTCCTAATGGCAGCGAAGAGGGACCTCCTCCCCTTGATGGACGTGACTCACCAGAGCCTAGCACTAGTAACACAGGTGAGGGACTTCATCTCAACACATAGATAAGCCAGGAAATTGTTTTTTCATGCCAGTTCTTTTGCATTGTCAAGTATACCACCATGCTCACCTGTGACTTCTTTCTCTCTCGCTTAGAGCCCTCAACCAGCCGGGCGTCTCTAAACTTTCAGGAGTATGTGCTTTCTCGACCTCCTCTGAGTCGCTCCCACCTCCACTTTGCTCCACTGGATGTCTCCTCTCCGACCCTGGGGGCCTCCAGCGGCCTCTTCTCCCAACCCTCAACCTCCTCAGCTCCTGGACCCTTTTCCACAGGCTTCTCCTTGGTCAAAGAAATCAAGGACAACCTCTCGCAGCATGAAGATGATAACATCTCCACCACTAGCGGCTTCTCCTCCCGCGCCTCAGACAAAGGTAAAAGAAGAGCGTTGTGTTTGAGTGTCTTAAAGTGTGGGGTCTGTATAGCTATACTATGTACTATTCCAAATCATAAAGAAGTGGGACATATTGAAGTGAGACCTGTACGCACATTGTTGCCCTTCATGGTGGGAAGAGATTCAAAACTATAGTGAAGTTTTGCAAAGTATCCAGAGTTTTGTGTTTGACGTTGGCTTACCTTTTAATTGTGTGTAAACAACTAAATGCCAGTGCTCTCAAATGATGAATTCATGTCCTCAGTAATGTATTCATTGGGAGATGTGAAGATTTAGCAGGACTTCTTTGGATCAGCTTTACACAGACAAATTGTGTCAGTGTACCTACTATCAGGCTGCTGTTGAACTCGCATTATTGATGTAGACTCAGCCACCGCAACATATTTTACCTATAAATGAGGTCAAGTGTGGGACATGACCTCACTAATGCCTACATCTAACACTGTATTCACACACAATTTGTCGATAACAGGATGAGGAAAATGAATCTTTACACAAGTTTTTACTGTAACGTAGTAAGGCAGGTGTTTTTTTAAAAAGGCGTTGCGTTGCCATCTGCATTGCCTTACATTGCCTACTTTTTAGCTGTCCCCAGTACTTGCTTTTCAGCTCCCTCTTGGCTTTTTGTCTTGCCTCTGATATAGGGATAGGAATTGATAAGATTTTTTTGATGCCACTAAGATTATTGATTCTGCTTATTGGTCCAGTTTTTATCGAATTTCTCATTGATTATTAGTAGAAAAAAAGGCACTATTAATTTACAATACAGACATTACAAGCAGCAGTGTTGTCATCTGTCTTAGAGAAATGAAGGCACACTTTGATTCCTTCTTGTAGCAAGTTTCTAGCAGCCTAGACATATGAGTTTAAGGTCATTTATTTGAAATGTGCAACTGGCAGAAAACCATGCCGGCATCGATTAAAGACATTGATAAGCTTGGAGGAATACAGTGCAGATGGGTCGGACAATTTGGGACTGGTTCTTGATTCCCAGCCCTACTCTAATAGTTGTTTCATGTGTAGTAAGCTTGGGCAGTATATATCTTTTCATACCTTCATATCTTTCTGAAATTTCACTGGGTTGTAACACATATGACAGCATTTGTGTAAAAAATAAATCCTAAATCAAAATACAGTTAAATGGTTTATTCACACTTAACTTACTTATCCAGGGAGGTCAGACCATGTGCAACTGAGAGCCAACAGTCTGCAGGTTTTCCAAGGACTCCGCCCTCTAATTACCACAATGGAAATCGTCTGCTGAGGTGATAGATTGTAATTAGAACCTGCAGACTGTTGACTGTCTGTAGCATAATGTGCTACGATTGGCCCACACCTGCACTTTTCATTTTGTTGATGTTCCAAAAATAAAAACACACAACCACATTCTCTGTGTGATTACTCTTTTTCTTTTCCTTTGCGTTATCTTAGCCTGATAAGTAAGTTTTAAAGAGTCATTGGTAGACTGTTAGTGTTGCAGCAGGTAGAGGCTGTTGTAGACGACAGCATTTCTCTTACATATGGGTTTGCACAGGACTGCGATGTACAGACTGAGCCACAAAGTTGCATTTCTTTAAAATGGTCTGAGATTTTTTCTGTCTCCTTTAAAGATGTCCCCACCTCCAAAACAGCATCACTTCCCCAACTTTGGTCCCCGGAGACAGACAGAACACTCTCTGGGTCTCAGCCTGCCCAGTCCAGTCTGAAAAGGCCTGCTTTCAACCTGTCTGTGTTTGGAACTTCTTCCAATGTGAGTATCTTTAGCCCCTCCTATACAGCCTGTTTAAGGCGGGAATGTTGTGCCATTATTACTCCATGCTGTTCTATTGCCTTTGCACACTGTTATGCTGCACGTCACACCTCTTTTGATGTGTGTGAAATGTTGCACATTAACTTTTATTGTGCATGTCGGACACCACAACTCAGTCTGGCCAACTCATAACAACTAGTCTGTTTTAATGGTCGTTCTCACTCAGATTTTTACCAACACTTTTCTATATTAAACCGCACTGGATGGTAATATATTTACATCTTCTTATATTAAAGAATATTTGATGTGACTTTATTAGTAGAAGAAAACAGCTGGCTTTTTAGGCTAAAGAGGTTGAAATGTTAATTAATATTGAAAAGATTGCAGGATGTATTTCTTAAACCGACTTTCCAGTATTTCATTCATTAAGAAAACTGGTAAAAATGTTGTTGACAATGCCATTCATTACCAGTACAATGACGTTATTTCACTTAATCCTAATATCTGATTTAACCCTCTCTCTTCCAGTCGTCGTTAAACAGCACAGTGTTAAACTCCAGCCAGCTTGGAGATTCACCCTTCTATCCCGGGAAGACCATGTACGGTGGGGCAGCTGCAGTTAGGAGCTCCCGTGCTCGTCCTGGAACACCGTACCAGGTGTGTGGAGTGAAAATTACACAGTCTAGAAACTGAGTCAAGCAATGTGAAGATTTTGATAAATAACTTGTTATGGTGAGCTGGGTTTAACACATTAGTTAAATTGAGTCCACACTGACATTGAGTGTTCTGGCTGTTCAAGTTCAGCAGCTTTTACTGGGTGAGCACTGATGTCGGAGTTGATTAGATTTCCATTTTTTCTGGTCTGGTACATGAGCTTAAACCAGATTGATTTTATGCAAACTGGCTAAACCGGCATTTGTCATTATGACATATTCTAACAAATTTAAAAGAAGCCTGCATCACCAGCCTGTGCAGACTGCGTCACAGCACTAAATCCAATTTGTAGTGCATTAGCATTAAGCCATATGACAGTGTGATCATCATAATATGATGTTTATATGTGTACGGACCAATGGAGGCACTCGCGTCTGGCAGGCTGTGAGCCGAGCACGGCAGCATGACGGAAATCAAATTTCAGTAGGGGTTGGAGGAGAGAATTGTGGCACACATTGTGGTTGTTAACTAGGAAGTGACAAGATGAGACATGGCGGAGTTAGTCTCACAAGAACTAAAACTGCACCAAAATGGTGACATTTTGCTTATGAAAGAGGTGTCCTAACTGGTTGCAAGCTATGCGGTACACCATTTTAAGTTGAGCTTTTGTCAGGCGCCCTGTTTTTAGTTATTTCTGTTGCTCGCTTTGAAAGCGCCACAATGGCCGAGGAATGGCTGAAGTTTAAATGAGGACGTATCTAAGGAATACCTCCACATTTCACTACAAAAACCTAAATAAGGTGGCAGCAGATCACCAGGGAGCTGAAAGTTAATAACAACTTCCAACATTTCCAGTAAATATCACAATAAAACGTGTTTCTGTTTAAAAAGTACAAATATCAGAAGATACCAATTAGGCTACTTAACACTAGCTGTGAAGTGGTTACATCGCCAGTCTGATCTCAAGCACACAGCAGATGTTTAGGTGGTTTGTTTACATGATGTAACAGAAGTGCATATTTAACAGATTTAATGTGGACATAGAGCGCCGATGTTATGCAATGTGGTGCGATAGTTGGATGCTTGTTTGCTGTCGGGACACAGTGATGAGTCAAATGCGACACCTAGTGGTATTATTTGGTATACCGGTAGGGTGTTTGGCTTAATATCAACCATTCTGAATACTGGCCAAGCAAATGTGACTGCAGTGTGAATATTATTACTTTAATTGGAGACTAATGAGCTCATCTTGATCTGTAGGCCCCAGTGAGGAGACAGATCAAGGCCAAGCCTGCTTGTGCTCAGCCCTGTGGGGTGACCAGCGCCACAGCCAGACGCATCCTGCAGTCCTTAGAGCGCATGTCGAGCCCGCTGGCTGTGAGTACACACACACCATCATTTCCTGTTTGTTATCTCTAAAAGAGGTTAGACATTTGCCAGTGAACATGTTAGTGTAAACCCTGTCACACATTTTGATTTTTGTTCTACAGGATGCCAGGAGAATACCAGCAGCAGCCTCATCCCCCCTGTCAGCAGTAAGAGCTTTTAACATGTTTCATATATTCTAAGCACATTACTGTAGAAGAAGGGCATGGAAACATTATTCTCAAATGACAAGTGTCTGTAAAATGTTTCAATCCTGAAATACTGATGTCATAACCAACTAAAAACATATTTTCTTTGCAGTCAATGGATGGCACAAATCTAGATGTTTCACACTTTCAGTCGAAAAAGAAACGAGTAAGTACAGATATTTTAAATTCTTGTGACGATATCCTCTCATGCCTGGTTTGTTAAAAAGTGCAAAAAATGTGTGTAGCTGTCCACACTGAGCCTTGTTTTTCTAATTTTCTGACAGCTGTCGTATACTCTATGTCCCTGTATGACCTTAAGCTTACTCTGGGTATGCACATGAACCAAACTTCAGCTGTGTCTTCTGCCCGGTGTGTTTTGTACAGTAGCACAAGGCCCAGTGATATGAACACAGATATCATTGTACATACCCAGCAGCACTTGGTGTGGTTTGTCCTCTTGTCATTTCCTGTCCTACTGTCTGTTGGCCTCGTTAACACCAGTTAATAGGATTCTCCTCAGCTGGGACACAGTTGTTCACCGCTGTGTGTGTGTGTATGTTTGTGTTTTTCTTCATCGTGCAAGTGCTTGTAAGCAAAAGTGTGCTAGACTCTACGATGCATTTGGCTCACGAAACTCTGTGTGTGCAGTGTGTTAAGTGTAGTCCATTGTTAAATTGTGCCAGCTCTGGACTGAACTTGTCCTCAGTAATAACTGTCAGCCATTCTCAGCTGCGACAGCTGCTTTGTGAATCCTAACAATGGTGTATTGACCCTCACAGGTCCAAAACAAGAAAGCTTACTATGTAATTCGATCTTTCATGGCGGACTGCTGTTTTAGGGTTTTGCCTTGGTAGGGTCCAAAATATAATCCAGTCATAGAAACAGAAGAAAGTTAGAATGGATATTGAACTGATTGCCCTCTTCATTTGAGTAGTTATTTCTTGATTAAAAGAGTAGTTGTTTGGTCTATAGAATGTTAGAAAATGACAGAAAGTGTTGAACTGTGTTTCTCAAAGCCCAATATGATGTCCAGTTTTGTTTTGCCCACAACCCAAAGATTTTTGGTTAATTGTCACTGAGGAGTAAAGAAACCAGAAAATATTTACATTTAAGAAGCTGGAACATCTCTAACATCTCTAGAGAGTTTTGCAACTCTCTAGAGATGTTACTGTTCACGTTGTGTCATTTTGTTCACAGTCTCATGTTTGAGTCGATAGGATTAAACTACTGCGGCCATGTTCATTATATTGCAATTGTATAACAAGTTCTGTGGCATGAAAAACACGAAAAATAGACAAACAATGAATCAGTGCCATCTCCTCTGATTCAAATTCTTATCTTATCTCTATATTGTACCACCCTTTCTTTAATTCAGATGGAGTCCACCCTCCCACCAGTGCAGAAGCTGGTGGTTCCTGCTGCAGTGTCTGTGTCAGGAAACCGCTCTATGTCCTTCAGGCCTACATTAACTCCTGGAGGATCCAGTCGAAGTTATGACAGGACCCCAAGAGAGACGGTCAGAAACAGAATGCTGCGTTACATTAGACCATAACATTGTTGCTTTATATTAAACAGTCTGTAACAAACATGATGCTTAAGTTGTTACTGTTTTACTTCCTTAGCCCACAAGACAATCACCGCAACTACCTGAAGCAACCCCAGGTCCATCTCAAAGGTAAAATGGGGTCACTGTAATTGATCAGCCATGAAATGTAATCACAGCATTCCTAGTTGATGCCTAACGTGTTTTACTTACTGTACCTGTCCCTTGCCCCTCTACTACTAGCACAATGGGTTCCAGTGGCCCAGCCTATCCTCTGTCCAGCACGCCTGCAGCCAGCAGCATGGGCTCTGGAGGGGGCAAGATAAAACGAGAGAGGACCAGTACAAGGCCTTCCTCTAAACGCCCTGAAGAGGAAGAGGTAAGGGCTTGGCATCAGAAAATTTAAAGGCTCTTTATCCAAAAACGTTACGGATAACAAAGACTACATTATTTATTAATTCAGCTTTGTATAAAAGTAATACGAAACAGGTGTTCATATGTCAGACTTCTTTTCAGGCCGGGCCGACAGAAAGGTCAGAAATTTAGATCAGATAATTGGCCGTGATGCATTCAAATTTAAGTCAATCAGGGGTTTATCTCATTTCATCATTAGGCCCCCTGTCTATCAAAGCATTTTTCCCAGCTGAAAATGCCAGGTGTTCCTCAGGAAGTGCCCAGCTGGGAGGGTTTGAGAGCACTTTATATGTTCCACATTTAGCAGAGACGCTGTGGTGGACATGGTTCCTAAGGTTGAACGTTTTTGAAAAGGCACACAATAACTCTTATGCTTGTTTTCTGCCTTTAGGTGGCTGAGGTACCGGACTTACCAACCATTTCACTTCCCATCAGCACCATGCCCACCTTTAGTTTCTCCTCCCCTCTTCCACCTCTCGCCACCTCCACCACCATCAGTAACACCCCTACTCTCACGCCTGTGACTCCTGCTAAGGAAACGGTTGCAAATAAGGTCTGTCTCATTGATTACAGTGCTACTGCAAGTGTAATGGTTAACAACATTATTTGTGCATTTTGCTGATATTCATGTTTTTTCCAGGAGCCACCGACAGCCTCGACACCTCCCTGTGTACCTTTTACATTTTCCTCCCCCATTGTCAAAGCCACTGCTGCTAGTCCTCCTTCCTTTTCCCCCTCGGTAAGTAAACAGTTTGTCTCTTAAGGAGGAACTTTTTTATTTTTCAACCTGGACCCCATTTTTTCTATGCTTTGTGTTTAAGTGACTAATGGAGACAACAATTTTTAAAAATTGGTCAGGTATTGAGTAAGAGCACTGCAGGTGGGAATAGCAAAAAAAAGGCTGTGATATAACATCAATAGGCAATTGTGCACCGTCAATGCTAAAGGTGCTTGTTTTTGCCACTGACTGGCTCAGATTATAATTCTAAGTGTCTGACAGCAGTATGGGAAGCATCCCTACAGAGATGGACCCTTTGTTTAAGAGTAAGATCATCTTGGTTAAAGTTACCAGAAACAGCCCCAAAATCAGTGTCGCCAAACCCACCAGACTCCATTTAGAGAGACTCCTTTTTCTCACATGGAACTGTGTGAATTCAGGGTTTATTTCAACCACACCAGAGTTGTTGATTTTTGAAACAGAGGGATGAGGAACTAATATGCTGTCTCAGCACTCTCACTCAATACTGAACCAATGTCAGAAAATCGATTGGTCAAATAGACACAAAATATGGGAAAATAAGGTCCCGGTTGAAAAACACTAAAGTTACCCTTTAGTGATCACTAACTGATTTGGTAGACAACTGTTTACAATGGTAACCTTGTTGGTAATCTTTGTCATTTCCCGTTGGTAGGCTGGATTCACTTTTAGTGCACCTGTAGCCATGTTAGGTCCCTCCATGTCAAATGGGAAGCTGGCCTCTCCCATAGTGGCAGCAGGTAAGAGACCTTGTTATAAAGTTGGCCTGATGTTTTTTCTTCTTTGCCTTTCCTGAGATGACAGGTATTCAGCTTTGATCTCTCTGTTTTCTACAGTGAAGTCAACAACAAGCAAAAGCACAGAAGATTTTGAAGGACCTTTCAAACCAGCCAAGACCCTGAAGCAGGGCAGTGTGCTGGATCTTCTCAAAGCACCTGGTTAGAATCAATTTTACATCCACATGGTTTGTTTTGCATGGTTATGGTTTACAAAGTTGTTCACCATTTTAATGTGTCTCTTGTTCTGTGTAGGCTCTGCCTCTCCTGTTGCTCGGACTTCACCAGGCCTGGACAACGCCCTGCTACAGACCTCCACACAATCCACAGCCCCCATCTCCACCACCACAACCACCTCCTCCCTTTCTTCTTCAGTAGGGTTTGCGGATGTGTTTAAAGCCCCACCAGGCTGGAGCTGTGACGTCTGCATGGTGCAGAACAAGCCATCAGACACCAAGTGTGTTTGCTGTATGGCCCCACAGCCCAGTTCCTCTTTATCCATATCTGTGGACAGTAAACCTTCAGCCACCACCTCGGTGGGGCTAGAGAGCAGCAGCACTAGCACCACCTCCGCCACTACAACCATAGCAGGTTTTGGAGCAGCGTTCTCCCAACTTGCAGGAACTTGGGACTGTGATACGTGTCTTGTTATAAACAAACCTGATGCAGTAAAGTGCGTGGCCTGTGATACGGCCAAACCCGGGACAGGTCTTAAACCCTCACTGACTCTTCCCTCTGCCTTCTCAGCTGTTAAGACTGTATCCACACCCACAGCCCCTGTTTCTACAGGGTTTACTGGATTTGGTGACAAGTTCAAAAAACCTGAGGGTGCATGGGAATGTGATACGTGTTGTGTAGAAAACAAGGCAGAGGATACAAAGTGTGTGGCCTGCACAACCCCTAAACCAGGTAATGAGAGTCCGACCATTGTAATGTTGGTATTTACTGTCTTTACAGGGCTGAATCTGTCTGAAACTGCCATTGATTTAAAACCATCTTAAAAGCGGTTGTTAGTTTAGTGAAGCATCTTTCTTTCCTCACCCTCACAACAGGCACTTCAGGTGGAACCCCGTCTGCAGCTGGAGCCTCTTCTGCAGCCAGCATGGCTCCAGCGTCAGGGTTTGGAGACATGTTCAAGAAGCCAGAGGGTGCCTGGGAGTGTGATGTCTGTATGGTACAGAATAAGGCCACTGATGTACAGTGTGTTGCCTGTCAGACAGCCAAACCTGGAGCTGTCGTGGAGCCCAAAGGTAACAAAAGTGACCCTTTCGTAGGTTTTTGCATTGACGATTTTGAAGTAAATTACTTCATTAGAAAACAGTAGAGGCATAGCATTGTTTTTTTTAGACTACTACGTCACCCCTGCATCATGTTTATAAAGTACTAAAAAAAATGCACTGTTAGCCGTTAAAATGTTAACAGTACCCAACTCTAATACCGCGCACCTAATCCACAATTTTGTTATCTTTTGTTTTTCTCTTCACTTTTGGTTCATCAGCTGGTGGGACTTCAGGCTCTAGTTCAGGAGGTTTCAAGTTTGGCACCTCAGACAGTACCTCAGGAACTGGAGGCTTTAAGTTTGGCACATCAGACAGTACCTCGGGATCTGGATCTGGAGGTTTCAAGTTTGGCACATCAGACAATACCTCGGGATCTGCATCTGGAGGTTTCAAGTTTGGAGGCTCGTTGACGGAGCCCTCCTCTTCATCATCAGGTGGATTCAAATTTGGAGTCCCATTTGGAAGCTCCACATCAGAAACCACTTCTAAAGACACTACTGTTTCATCAGGGTTCAAATTTGGCAGCTCATCTGAGAGCTTTAAATTTGGGGCTTCCTCTAGTGATGACAAAAAGTCCGACCAGCCCGCTGCAGGTTCTGGGTTTAAGTTTGGAGCCAGCAGTGGGATAGCATTTGGTTCTGGATCATCTAGCACAGACTCCTCTAAGGGCGGCTTCACCTTTGGACTGTCAAAACCCGAAGAGAAAACATCAGACACCACCACCTCATCCTCTGTTAGTCTCATTCCTCCTGCTTCCTCTCAAGAGAAAAGTGACAGTGCAGCATCATCAAATGACACCACATCCACAAACACCATCTCAACCACAACCACCACCACCACTGGATCTGTATTTGGGAGACTGGGTGAGCCAACTTTGGCAATCACCACACCACAAAGCGGCTCTACGTTTGGTTCCTTGCAGGCAGACAAAGAGCCAGCTGCTCCCACTTTTGCTTTTGGGAAGCCAGAGGAAAAGAAGGAAGCTGCTGCCTCCTCTGCTCAATCTGCCTTCCTCTTTGGTGCTGCTAGTAAAGACGCAGATGCTGCACCAGCACCTGCCCCCTCAGGAGGCTTCTCCTTCAGTAAGCCCATTGCTCCAACAGAACAACCTCCACCTGCTTTTAACTTTGGCAAGCCAGCAGATAAGAGCGAAACATCTACTGCAGAGGCCCCGAAGCCCTCTTTCACCTTTGGACAAAGTGCTACAGGTAAAACAAAGTTTGGACACTCATACTGAAGTAATTATGTTGAGAATGTTATGCTTTCTGTTGTTTATTTTTTTCTTTTATTAGTTTTTATATGCTGATTTCTTTGAAGGAAAATCCAAGTGTTAGTGCTGAGATATGGGTGACACAAGTGCATTACAAACATTATCCTATTGTAAACGCTGAAACCATCAGTCGATCCCTGCAGGTTTTTTCTTTCCACTCAGGAGCCCTTGAACAAGGCCTTGAACCACCAACTGCTCTAGTGGAGCTGCTCACAAGCTACACAAATGTAGTTGTAGTTTAACAAAGTTTACTTTCTCACAAGGCCTTAGCATTGCCTTTTGTAATGTTTCCAGTATAAGTAGCAGAAAAAAGTGGAAAATTAAGGCATTAACAAGCCTGAAATGTCCATCACAATTGTCTGTTGCATTGAAATGGTGTGAGGGCACAGTGCTTCGGGAAGTGTAGTAAGTTCAAGTTGAACCAGATGTGCAAAATCTAACCAAAATTGTAACAAAAACAACTAAGGTAGTTAAAGGGGACATATTAAGCTCATTTTCAGGTTCATACTTGTATTTTGGGTTGTTTACATGAGTTAAAAAAAAAGTCTTTATTTTCCTTCTACTGTCTTTGCTGGAACACCTGTATTCACCCTCTAAGATTTTTATTTCAGCGTCTGTCTCTTTGAGGCCCCCTTCCCGAAAAAGCCCAATCACTTTGCTTTAAATTGATAAGCATTGCCAGGGTCTACCATATCTGCACCCTCTGCGTCTCTGCACCGTCATTGTAGCTGCGGGAATGACTAACTGAAAAATCTTCCAAACCAAAATCTTCACAATTCATCAGGAATATAATCAGATATCAGGGAGAAATCACAAACATCGACAACCAATATTACATGTTCCTCAGATGTTAAAATGTAGCTACATGCAGCAGTGTACTTGTAGCAAGGAATGACTGTATAGCAGCACTTTTTCACGTGAAAAATAACTAATAAAATCTTCTAAACACAGCTGGACATGCTCCAGCCAAGCAGAGTATGTAAGGTAAACACCTGCAGTAGCGTGCCTGGAGTAGAGGACCATGTAAAGGAATCCATCTCAAGCTCACATCAGGAAATAGAGTATTCAGTGCAGTCTGAAGCCTGAGGTCTTTGCTCATTACTTAGCTCAATATATGCTCATTATATTCTGCCACCAGTAAACTGACTTTCATGTGTAAAATTGGTGGACTGTCCCTTTAACCCCTGCACCTTACTACACATCCTAATTAACTTTGTGTTCCCCTGACAGATTCCTCTGCTGCTCCAAAACCAGCATTTACCTTTATGGCTACTAATCCCACCAGTACCATTGACTCCACCACCTCGTCATCCACCACCCCGACCCCCAGTCTGTTCGGCACCACCACCACCACCGCCGCCACCAGCAGCAGCAGCAGCAGCAGCAGCTCCACTCAGGCTCCCGCTCCTTCTGCAGCTCCTAGCACTTTCATGTTCGGTCAGCCTGCTGCGACCTCCAGTGATGCTCCAGCTAAAGGCTTTGTCTTTGGTCAGAGTCAGGACAGCCAGCCGCCTGCCCCATCAGCTGCTCCTCTGAACTCTACTCCAGCCCCAGCCCCAGCTCAGCCCTTCATCTTTGGTGCTCCTGCCAGTGCTGCTCCTCCTCCTGCTGCTGCTGCTGCTCCATCGTTCGGCTTCGGAGCAACAGCACCCTCTGCTGCCTCATCTGCAGGTGTGGTCATGGTGTTTGTTTCAGATGATGAGCATGATCACAGTGCGACAACAATGAAACATTCACACTCAAAATTATTAGAATTATTTATTTTTA